AACCCCGGCAGAAGCACAATTACAACAGACGACGGTGTCGGTCTCTGGTGGCGAAACGTCAAACTTCTCTATTTTCTCGTTTATAGATAAGAGCAACTAGTACTGCTGCGCACGTCGGTTTATGCATCTATCTATGCATTTATCTTCCGTTGACGTTTTGAAGGAAAGCTTTATACAATCTAAACGATTGTTAACGTATACTCAACATTGTACCTTAGCCAGTAGAGTAAGCATGCATTTATTAAGAGTATTTCGGATATGTAATCAATGTGTTGACGCTTGCATGAATTAACCCACGGAGATTCTTCCGCAGAAATGAAGCCACAGTTAGTTAAAACCTTGCTTTACATGGTCATAACATTAATATTCTTATATATATATATATATATATAAGGGTAGCCATAGCAGGCAACCACCGCGTGTGATGTGACTGATCCCTACTGTAGAAGACCACATCGCTAGAAGGCTACATCGTAAACGCAACACGTTTCAAATATCTATCCGTGATCTCACCGCTCGGCCGGCGACACACTAACCGCCTCCCCCTCCTCCCCGCCTTCCCCCCGAAATTTCCAATAAAGCCGGCCGCAGCATCAGCAATCGATACACGAGGAGCCACGAGCGCAATATTACGCAAACCGCCTGCGAAAGCTCGCGCGTGACGTCACCGACGCCGCCGACCAATGGCGGGTTGGGGGTGGTGGGTCACGTGACGAGCGGCGGACGCAGCAAGGGACTGATCACGTTAGGCACAATCAACGGCTAATCACCACGCAGCAGCCTTCCATCGCATAGTAAACACAGACACGGACGCAGCAGCAGCAGCAGCAGCAAGCAGCACGCATCAGTAGTAGTGGTAGCCCTCGCATGGTCAACGAGAACCGTCGCACAGCAGCGACGGAAAGAGAAATACACGCGGATAGGGAAGAGAGAGGCGGTGTCGAGTGAACGTAACGGCGGTGTGTTGGTGCTGCTATTAGTATTACTATAACTGTGTCTTCGGTCGCTCGCCCGGATGCATGCGAGTTAGCCGTGTGTTTTGTTTTGGACGATGGTGACGACGGTAGCGGAGTCAGAAGAAGGTGCTCCGATGCACGCAGGCGTTGGATAGACGCAGGCGTATAGTGCGTACAACAACAACAACAACAACAACAACAACAACAACAACAACAACAACAACAACACCAACAGCAGCGGCAGCAGCATCAATAACGGCAGCAGCTTCCGCAGCAGCAACAACAACAGCACCGACGACAACAACAGCAGCAGCAGCATCAACAACAACAGCACCGACGACAACAACAGCAGCAGCAGCATCAACAACAACAACAGCAGCAGCCATACGGTGTCGGTGGTAGCAATTACGTGTGTTCCTTTCCCCCGTGCTTGCGTGCGTCTACAATGGATACGTTACCCCTGTGAACGCTTGTGTCAGCTTCACGTGTATATAAATACATAGATGAAACGACGTGACTGCGTGCGTGCCGGCAGTGCGTGGAATGACACCGCGGAGGTGTGATGAGAGCGTGTCGTCAGCATCGATGTGTTGTGTCTGGTGCGCATAGCACGTGATCGACACGGGCCGAACGCTTTGCGTTTAGAGGGAGAGAGAGAGAGGGAGAGAGAGAGAGAGAGAGAGAGAGAGAGAGAGAGAGAGAGAGAGAGGGGAAGGGCGAAAGTGACAAAATAAATAGAAAATAATCGCGCTAAGCAAACGGCGCAGTGAGAGAGTTGCGCCCGCAGTGTCAGCGGCGGCAGTCCGCACGCGCGCGCCACCTAGCGCCAAGATGGCACACTACGCGTTCCAACTGCCCAACTTCATGAAACGATTCGGACCGAATCCGGACGACCTATCGATGGACTTCTTCGCTTCCTACGTCTCGGATCCGATCAACCGGATCCAGTGGCGCCTCTACTTCAAGCGGCACGCGAAGGAGAACAGCGACAAGGAGTACATCTCCGTCTACCTGAAGCTGATGAAGTTCTTCGACGGTCAGTGCCGCCAGGTGACGCACCGACCCGTCGTCGAGGTCACCTACTCGATCGGCATCCGCGACCAGGAGTTCGCGTGCGTGCACAGCAAAACCGCCACGCACAGTGACTGGACGACGGACTGGGGCTGGCGGGAGTTCCTTCCGCTCGACGCCGCGCGCGAGCACCTGCTTCCCGACGGATCGCTGTTCGTCTTCTGCAACCTCGACCCGAAGCAGGAGGGTCGCTACAGCATCCCGCCGAGTCCGCCGTCGCAGCCGAGCAGTCGCTGCACGCGATTTCTCGCCAACTCTCCGCGCACCGAGCCGACGGGCCTCGGACAGAAGCTGCTCAACGACAAGCACCACACGGACGTGACGATAGTCGCCGGGGAGAAGAACCCGGTGACGTTCCAGGCGCACAAGGCCGTGCTCTGCATACAGTCGTCCGTGTTCGCGCAAGGGTTCGACCACAAGTTCCTGCCCGACCTGCCGTCGAGCCACGTGCGCGTGAAGGACTTCGACGCCGACACGGTGCGGGAGATGATCAACTACGTCTACACGGGCCGCACGGACAAGATGACGGAGATGGCGCACCTGCTGCTGCCCGCCGCCGAGAAATATCAGCTAGAAGGTGAGGCAAGGAGGAGGGAATAGAGTAAGGGTTGATAGAGAAATATCAGCTAGAAGGTGAGGCAGGGAGGAGGGAATAGAGTAAGGGTTGATAGAGAAATATCAGCTAGAAGGTGAGGCAGGGTGGTGGGAATAGTAAGGGTTGATAGAGCAATACTAGCTAGAAGGTGAGGCAGGGTGGTGGGAATAGTGTAAGGGTTGATAGAGAAATATCAGCTAGAATGTGAGGCAAGGAGGAGGGAATAGAGTAAGGGTTGATAGAGAAATATCAGCTAGAATGTGAGGCAGGGTGGTGGGAATAGAGTAAGGGTTGATAGAGAAATATCAGCTAGAATGTGAGGCAAGGAGGAGGGAATAGAGTAA